TATCCATATATAATATTTAACAGAAAGAACTAAGAATCTCTCTTGTGCCTTTGTCGTGCCTGTTTGTTTTTGTTTGTCTTCATCTCCAAGATGCGCACATATTTTTGACACTTGAGCTGGACATCTCCATGTTTTGAGCCATTGCACTCAAGTCTAATGGCAAGCTGTCCAGTGTATCTAAAACTATTTTTAAGCTCATTGACCTGCCATCAGTAAGTTCATCCCTTCTAGTCAACAGCAAAGTTAGTGTGTGATCTCACTGCCTGACAAGCTGACATCTTCTTCTCTCATACCTGCATACTTGTACTTTAGACCACATTTAGGGTAATTTTATCTGTCTTGTAATATTCAAACTCCAGTGTGGTAGAGATCAAGGATTATCACTTCTGGTTACAGTTTGTTGGTATGTCTGCTATTCAGTACTCCTTCATTCTCAACCCACCTGGAGTATCATCTTTTCAGTGGTCCTTGGTTCTTACCTCATGACTATTTTCTGTGGTCCTTTCCAGGGTCTCAAGTCTTGATTCTATCCTGATGACTTCTTCAACTTGATTCTGTAACTGAATTCACTTTTTTCCATTTTAGAGGGCAAGTATAGAGAATGATAACGGCACAAGTATGTGATTTTTTCTGGCATTTTTGAAAACATACCCATTGAGTCATGTGCCTTTCAGACAAAGGAAGAATCATCAATTCACAACTTATCTCAGTCTTTCAGAACAAAAGAGCATTGCTTGGTTTTAAAGCCGTCACCCTTTTGGTTGGCCAATCATCAACCTGTGACAACAAGTTGGCATTAATTTTCACTTATTGTTATGTTACTTCCAAAATTTAGTCAGTACATTTGCGCTCCTGTATTACAATTTAGGTCTGTTTTCAGCCTTAAAATTGTAAGAACCATGTGGTGGCAAGAAGTCTCTCTTATTGGCCATGATTGGATTGCTTGTCAGTTTGCTTGTAGTTACTACTATGTTGAAAATGCCATTAAGCACAGAATGCTGCTTTCACCACAATTTTTAGATTATATGGTATCCAACACCATTTTGTGAGGGAATATCTGTACAATTGTGATTAATACAAGAAGATGATAGCCAAGATATTAAAGAATATGCATCCAAGGGTGAAGGTACCCATAGGCATCTCCCATCCGTCACCAGTCACTGGATTTATACTTTGTTAATTGCACAGAGGACTACACAAAGTATATATTTTGTACAGATTCAACATGATGGAATTGACTTTTGAACCCTTCCTTTGCCCCATATTCTCCATTCCTTGCTCCTAAGTTTAAGGGTTTCTGAGATAACAGCAAATGACAGTGCATTTTCAGAGTTCTGGTCCCTATCTCCTGAAGTGGCAGAAGGGTATTCACCTGTCAATACTTAAAATGAAAGAAGGGGGCTAGTTAATTTATATGCTGTATGACTATGAATGGGGAGCAGAGAGATGTCGCTGATTTTTTTTAGGAAAGCTACATTTATCCTGAAGTTTGTTCAGCATGAAATAGAAGCACAAAGGCAATTAGATGTGTGAAGAAATTGTAAATGATATTTCCTCAGTGCTGCCCCTTGCCAAGGTCATGGCTATTACGTGTCCCCTGATCAGTACGTTTCTTTCAAAGAGAGGATGTGTAGTAGATGGGCATGTCTTCCTCTTGTTACGGGTTGTAAAGGACCTCCTACAGGAAAGAATGTAGAGGATACAGAGAGTATTACCAGACATGCATAAAAACAACCTGGTAATGTTACAGCAAAGGTAACATGCTAAACAGCCAAGGCGGCATGTTGCTGAAAAGAATTAAAACTATTCCACAGATCAAATCAAAGCTCTGCAGCTTTGTCACATCCAATAGTCGTGATGGACAAGTAAATAAATAATCAGAAGACGAAGCTAGTTTCTTCCAGTATATCAATGCAAAAACCAAGGCTGAAGCTTTCAAAGACATTTTCAGCCATAAAAGCCAACTGTATGATCCATCTTTGCCTGTCAAGATCCCACTGCCACAGATGTCAGTCTTGGGTCAATTTGCTTCAGTTCATGGTGGTACGCTAACCACTGTGTGCAACACAAGTGCTAACTACTGAGCCACCATGCCGCCCTGAACTGAAGCATGACGGCTTGTTGAAGCATGCTGCCTCACAGTGCCAGGGACCCAGGTTCAGTTCCACCCTTGGGGAGCTGTCTGTGTGGAGTTTGCACGTTCTCCCCGTGTCTGTATGGGTTTCCTCCGGGCACTCCGGTTTCCTCCCACATCCAAAGATGTGCAGGGTGGGTGGATTGGCCATGCTAAATGGGCCACAGTGCCCAGGGATGTTTAGGTTAGGTGGGTTAGACATGGGAAAATGCAGGGGTAGGTGGGATGCTGTTCAGAGCGTCGGTGTGGACTTGATGGGCCGAATGGCCTGTTTCCACACTGTAGGGATTCTATGATTCTATGAGCATCAAGAAATGGCTGATTGGTCTGGATATAATAATGGCTAATGGCACTGACAATGTCCCAATTATAGTAATGAAGACTTGTTCTCCAGCTTAACAAAGCTGTTCCAGAACAGCTAAAATAAAGACTGTTATTACCTGACAATGTGGAAAAATGCCCAGGCACTACTTGCCCAAAAGAAGCAGGACAAACCCAATCCTGCCAATTATCATCCCATCAATTTATTCTTAATAATCAGCAAAGTGTTGGATAGTGGTGTTAACAGTGTAATAAGAGGGTCTTCACCTGTTCACCAGTGGTGAGTTTGGGTTCCATCAGGGCTAGTCAGTGCCAGATCTCATTAAGACCTTGGTCCAAACATGGACAAAAGAGCTAATGTTCTTTCCCTGTATGTTTGATTGCACAACATTGTGCCATTCCAACATCTCAGATACTGAAGCAGCAAGATGTGGACAATTTTCAGGCAGATTGGTAGGTAACATTCATGTTGCACAAGTGCCGGCAATAACCAGGCAAAAGAGAACTTATCCATCCCCTCAACACAATCATAGAATCTCTCATCATCCAGAGAGTTGTCACGGACCAGAAAATTAAATGGACCAGCCACATAAGTACAGTAGCCACGAGTGGGTCAGGAGGCTAAGAATTCTACACTAGGTAACTCCCCAAAGCCTGAGCACCACCTGTGAAGCACAAGTCGAGTGTGTGATAGAATACTCTCATGTCCGTGGGGTGAGTGCAGTTTCAAAAACACTTGAGAGGTTGATGCTATCTAGGAGATTCATACCCCATCCACTACCTTAAATTCGCCACCTTGACTCAATGATAGCAACATGTACAAGATGTACCACAGCATCTTACCAATGTGCCTTCAACAGTACCTTCCAAACCTGTAACTTCTGTCTGGTCCTAGAAAATAAAATGTGCCATATGGATGGAAAAGCCACCACCTGCAAGCTCCTCTCCAAGTTGCCCCCGCCCAACCACCACCACCATCCTGAATTGGGATTAGATTGCCATTGCTACACTATCAATGGGTTAAAATTCTGGTACTCCCTACCTAGCAGCAGTATGGGTGTACTTCCACCACATGGACTTGCCATGGGACTGAATGTGGAGGAGCAAAATCAGTTGGGGATCCATCACAAACAAAATCAAGTCGCTGGAAAAGCTCAGCAGGTCTGGCAGCATCTGTGAAGGAAAATCAGAGTTAACGTTTTGGGTCTGATATCCCTTCCTCAGTTGGGGATCCATGTCTGACAATGTCCACATTTTTATGCTTGCCAAAATTCTGGTAACTCTATTTCTGGTGTACGTAGTGTCTAAGCATCCCCAAATATCCTTGATAAAATACATTTAGGATGATTCTTTATTTTTCTCTCCCTCTCTCTCCCCTTCTTAAATTTCTTCCCTTTGTGGCTCAGTTCGTAGCACACACACAGGGTTCTGGGTTCACGTCCCACTGAAGGGCTTGGTCACAAAACATGATTGACGCTCCAGTGCAGTATTGAGGGAACCTTGTAAATTGTAAGCACTGTCTTTTAGATGATATATTAAAACACCTCATCTACTTGCTTTCCTGCTCAGGGTAAATTGTAAAAGAACTCATAACACTGTTTTGAAAAAGGACAAAGGAAGTTATTTCTGGTGTCCTGGCCAATATTTATTCCTCAAATCTACATCATGTAAATCAGATTTGATCCTTTGTGTGAGTTTGCTAAGCATAATTAGCTGTCCTTTTAAAAAAATATATACTTGATTGACTGTAAAATTGCGCAGCAAAGCAGCTCAGTGGTTAGCGCTGCTCCCTCACAGCACCAGGGACCTGGGTTTGATTCCAGCTTTCAGTGACTGTGTGGAATTTGCATATTCTCCCTGCATCTGCGTGGGTTTCTGCCAAGTGCTCCAGTTTCCCCTCTCAGTCCAAAGATGGTTAGGTGGATTGGCCATGGTAAATGTGGGGTTTTGGAGATAGGGTGGGGGTCTGGGTCTGGGTGGGATGCTTTTCAAAGGGTCGGAGCAGACTCGATGAGCCAAATGGCCTCTTTCCACACTGTAGGGATTCTGTGAAAACATTTTGAGATTCCAGTGCACATATAAAGCAATGTACAAATCTCTGTTTCTGTCTGCCTGCCTGCATAAGGGTTCAGTTCCACAGCTAATCGTTGGTGTGAAGTTTAATGCAAAAAGCTGTCAGAATTGTGTCAACAGAATGCAAGCTACAAATGACCCATGCATTCACCAAATACTTTCTAAATTCATGATCAAATTTTGTTTTCTGAAGATTGCAGCTAATAATACCCCATGATTTGGCTGCATAATTTGTCCTGATTCACAGCCTTAGGACCTGTTGGCAAAGCCTCAGAATAAAGGGGTGCAATTTAAGACTGCAGTAAGGAGGAATTTCTTCTCAAGGTTAAGTGTTTTTGAACTCCTTGCCACAGAGTTATGGGAGCAGAGTCTTTGTGTATGTTTAAGGCAGACATAAATTCTTGATCAGTCTGGGGAAAAGGCAGGAAAGTGGACATAAGGAATTTTGGATCAGCCATGATCCTGTTGAATGATGGAGCAGGCTGAAGGTATTGAACGGCTTACTCTTGTTCCTGTTTCTTATGAATTTATATTCCTAGATGATCTACCCCATATTGTGAGTCTCTTGGACAGTGTTCCAAATTCCCCTGGCTGGGAATCATTGTGCTTAACCATTAGGGCATGACAAGTGTAAGTAAGACCAGGAGGAAAATAGAATACTTTACAACAAAAGACGCCAACTTGTCCCTTTACATATTTCAAGATTGTCTAGGTTATTTAATTTTACATCATGGTAACAGCTGTAAGTCAATAGGCTCAAATCATATCTTACACCTCAACATATGGGAATCATGGAAATAAAAGCTTTAACCTCTCCTTTGTTTCTACTTACAATCCAGTTCTCAATCCATTTATAAATAAGCAAAAGTAAAAGCTTTAATCACATGAAATTAAACTAATCCTTTGTATATGCAGGGATCTATAGGAATACTTTTTGTGCCCTGTTTATTTTAAGGTAACAGCAAAAATTTGGATTAAGTATCCATACTAACATGATGTGCATACAAAACCATTAAGATACATCAATTCTAGTTGGCTCCATTTCTGAATACTCCCAAACTTAAAACCTTAGGTCAGCTGCTAGCAAAGCAAAACACTTCCACTGATGAAGGTGATGTGTGCTACTGGGTGATTGTCTCATATTTGTCAACAACATGTTTTTCCATTGTGACCAGGAGTTATTTCCAGGCCGGTCCAAAGCAGTGAGATGACAAAAGGGAATTGAATGTAAAACTGTATTCTATGTGCATTTTCTTTTCTGTAACAAATTTTAAACAAATGTTGGCAATATGAGACCTCTAAATAGTATTGGTTCTGAAGCAAAAAAACTAATGACTTACAATTTCAACAAGCTCTGAATATTAATTAATGTTTTCCTTGTCTAACCTTATTATTGTGAATTCCAATTGCTGTTTGAAAATGAAAATTCATTTTTACAGTTGACACCTAAAGTCAATCTGAATAAGCTTTATGCCATTTTCATAAGCAGCTTTTGCATTGATACATTCTTATTTAGAAACTAATGAAAACACATTAAGGATATGCTTCAGCCTTTTTTTTTGTACATTATGATGAATTTCTAAGCAAGTTTTTTTTTAAATCTTTCTTTCTAACTGTTACAGAAGAGGTCGACTACAATCTCTTTGGCACAGATTCATTGACACGAAAGAAAAAGCCTTTGGGAGGTCTCCGTAATGATACCCTCCGAAAACGAGTTCAGCTCAGCATTAGTATTCCTCAAGACTTCAGGCCTGTTTCTTCAATCATTGATGTAGATATTCTGCCTGAAACTCACCGGAGAGTCCGATTATACAAGCATGGATGTGAAAAACCTTTGGGGTTCTACATTCGAGATGGCACAAGTGTGAGGGTGACAGCTCATGGACTAGAAAAAGTTCCAGGTATCTTCATCTCACGGCTTGTACCTGGTGGTTTAGCTGAAAGTACAGGCCTCCTTGCTGTTAATGATGAAGTCCTCGAGGTGAACGGGATTGAGGTGATGGGTAAAACACTTGATCAAGTTACAGACATGATGATTGCCAATAGTCACAACCTTATTATTACAGTAAAGCCAGTGAACCAGAGGAACAATGTCAACCGCAGCAGTCGTATGTCTGGTAGCTCTGGCCATTCCAATGACAGTACAACCAGTCATCATAGTCTGCCCTCTGCCCATATGGTGCAGAACTATAATCCTGAAGATGAAAGTGATGAGGAGGCTGACATTATTATTGAAGGCTGTAGTGAACCACAGAGCATTCTGTTTAAATCACCATCTTCCTCGTTCACCAGTTCTCGAAATAACCTGAGTCAGAGACGGCAGAAGGAGCTGCCACTCAATGGCTCCATTAGAAAAAGTAATGGAAGTATACTTAAAACATTGAGTGCAATCAAAGCTGAGGCAAGACATAGCCTAGCTTTCAGTAGAGGAGGCATTGAAGAGGATGGAACAGTGATTACACTTTGAAATTTTGGTCTGGATTGATGTAAAGTGCCAGCGGAGAATCACGAACAATAGAGATGTGTTTTTTTTTCAATTGCAAACATATTTTTGGGAACATTTCCCTTGTTTACTGGAATTCAGTACCTTGCAGGATGTTCTTTTGATTGCCTTCAATGTTGAGGCTAAAACTATGATTCAGATATAGTTAGTAAGTGGATGTAAACATAGAAGCTTATTTTACATGATAGGAAAGCCTTTAATAAACTGTGTATCAAAAGTATGACACCAGATTATCTTTAAACAAAATCATGGAGATATCCTGTGAGCAAAAATGATTGTGTTGTGTAGCACCACTTGCTTGGATGTATTTGTTGCAATAATTATGGAAGACAAATTTACTTATCTTAGATTCTCCAAGTATCAGCCTGGTCCAGGACTTTGCAGCTGTTTATCCATGCATAACCAATGAATTCTAGATTGTTTAAAATAATTTTAAATAGATGATGTAACACTAGAAACTAAGAATTGGGGAATTATCTACTTTAGTTTAGAATTTGCCAACAATGTCCAATCCCATATGCAATCTCCCATGTTTTATGTTTGTATGTTTTATTGTTTGAATATGTTTGGAATTTAGATGCTGAAGGTATGAGAATACATTTACAATATATCTTTAGAAAAATCCTTTGGAGCTGAAAATAATATTGCTTTATCAGCAAATTAGAAACCATGGTCTTTGGCAGTTGGTGACAATTAATAGGTATTTAAAAGTAATGTACACAATGGTAGTAATGCAAACAAAATAACTGAAATTTATAGCACAGTTGAAGACCATTTGTCCCATCCAGCCCGAATTCTACTATCTAACTCTTGATCTATAAACCTTAGAGATTTCAGTGATTGAACTGCATATCCAAGTATTTTTTAAATGTTATGTCCTCAAACCACCTTTTTCAGATCCTTCCTGATCAATCTCTTAATGAAATCATTTCTCTTCAATTTTTTTTGGAATAACTCATGAGACATGGGCATTGCTGGCTGGACCAGCATTTAGTGCCTGTCCCTAGTTGCCCATGAGAAGAAGGTGGTGAGCTGCCTCCTTGAAGTTCTTGTGCCTTTAAAGAATTCTGTCTAAACCTCCCGTCTCATAATATATCTAACCCTCCCCAGAATATGGACTTGTCAACAAAAGGGAATAGGTCTTTCCTAACCACTCTATCCAGGTTCTTCATAATTTTATACTCTGTAATTAGGTCTCTCTTCGGCCTCCTCTTTTCCAAAGGAAACAACTCTCTCCAATCCAATCTTTCCTTATAACTAAAATTCTCCAAACCAGGCAATATTCTTGTGTATTTTGTTTATACCCTTTCGAATGCAATCGTATCTTTCTTCTGATGTGGTGTCAAGAACGGCACGAAGTACCCCAGCTGTTGCTTAAACCTGCATTTTGTACTGTTACTGTATGGCCTCTCAGTTGATCACCTTGTCTACCTGTCCAGCCACCTTCAGAGATCTGTGGATATGCTGTCATAAATTCCGCTGCTCCTCTATACTTCAACAACAACAAGTATTTATTCTTGTCGGTATCTTGGCATTTATTGTAAATTCCTTCGCCTTATCTTCCAGGTGCATTACCTTAATTCTCTGAATGGAATTCAGTTCGTCCCTATTCTGCCCGACTGACCATTCCATTGATATTTCAGCCTATTGCAGAGCTTCCCAAAGTGGGAGTCAGGATCCCCAGTGGTGTCATTAGCTGACATCAACACTTGAGTTCTGAGGCAGTAATGGCCACTGTGGTGCTTGGACCAAGTTGTAATAGCTGTGCTTCTTCTTGAACACGTCTCTGTGCCTTCAATTATTACTGAGGGATGGCACCAGTTTTCAAAGGGGTCACAATGGGTAAAAAGTTTGGAAAGTACTGAGTTACAATCTCATTATCAACCCAGACTTATTACAAACCGTTTTTTGGATCATCAGGAAGCACGTTAATCAAGTGCTACATTTAAGTCTTAAATCATTGTTATAAAGTATGAACACCAAAAGATTCGGTGCTGAGTCATACGGAACTCAGTGGAAGCAGTGTTCAGTTTCTCAAATATGAACCAACTCAATACTCTTTTCTTCCTGACTCTAAGCCAGTTTTGAATCCAATTTACCACTTTCCCATGAATCCCATATGCTTTTGTTGTCTGCTAGTGCCACCTTATCAAAAACCTTACTAAAATCCAAACAGGTTGCATCAAATGGCTACCCTAACTAATCCTTCTTGTTGCCTTCTCAAAAAATTCAATCATGTTAGTCAGAAATGACCTTTCCTTCAAAAATATCTTTAATTTTGTCTTTCCAAACTAATTTATCCTGTTCCTCAGAATTTTTCCAATCGGTTTCCCACCACCAAGGTTAGGCTGATTGACCTGTAATAATTCAGTTGAGCCTTTCTCCCTTTTTATACAGTGGTACAACATTATCGGTCTCCTGGCACCACACTTGTAGCCAGAGAGGACTAGAAATTGAAGGCATCAGTCTCTACTATATCTTGTCTGGTTTCCATAGCAGCCAAGGATACATTACATCTGGATTGATGTATCAGTCACAATGTTAACATCATTTAATACTTGACACTCCTCCTCTCTGACTGCATTGTGTGTGTCATCCCTTTCTTTTGTGAAACGGATGCAAAATATTGATTAAGAATAATACTAATATAATTTCTTCTTTCTTAAGAGAACGTACTAACTCTGAATCTCACATTTTTCTTAGTCGTCTTATCTAACACCTTTCAAGTAATTGTTTTCATTCCAATTTAACTAAATCAGTGTACAGTAAAATTAGCTTTATGAATAAGGAAATTTTATTCCTGATCTTCCTTTATTCTTTTCTGTGATTATCCTAATTCTAACTGATTTGCTCTCTGTTTTACTGATATGCCCCCCAATTCATACTCCTGCTATCTGACCAGTTTCATTCTGTAAGACTAAGTCCATAAACTCTCCCTCTCGCTTGCTACATGCAGCAAGTTCTTCTGAAATAGTTCTGAATACATTTTTAAAAAATCTTCACAATAATTCTATCCTAGTTAATATTGAAAAGTTGAAATCTTCTATTATTACTTTTGTTATTTGCAATTCTCAGATTTGCCTACATATTTACAATTCTGTCTCCCTCTCGAATGTTTGCTGGTCTGGAGTGCACTCCCATAGTGTGATGTATTTTCATTCAGCCCATATGCCCTCATTTGATGATCCTTTTACCATATTCTTCTCTCAGTTAGTTATTTCTTGAGTCAATTTTACAACATCCTCCTCTTAAGCCTCCTCTATATTTTATCTGAAAACTGTAACCAGGAATGTTGAGCTGCCACTCCTGTCTCTCTTTTAGCCATGTCTTAATAATAGCTATGATATCATATTCCTACATTTAAATACGTGCTCTCATCTCATCTGCCTTACTCTTTGGACATCTTGCATTGAAATACATCTACATTTAGTATAGTCAAACTGCTTTGCAGCCTATTTTCTAGACTTGGTTTACTTCGCCTTCCAAACATGCATACAAATCTTCTGCCTTCCATTCCCAGCTTTTATTCTCTCCTTTCTGAATCTGCTGTTGGGTTCTCATCTCTCCGGTAAATTGGTTCAATCCCTTCCCAGCATCACTAATAAAATCTCCAGTGAGAATATTATTCCCAGCATTGTTGACATGCAATCAGTCAGACTTCTACAGGCCCTACTCCATCGCCCCAGAAATCTAAAGTTGTCCCTCCTGCACCAGTTCTCTAGCCATGTATTCTCTATCTTATTTCTGTAGTCACCAGCGCATGGTCCCTGGAGTAAATTGGAGATTACTATCTTTTGAGGTCCTATTTTCAGTTTATCTTCCAGAATCTAAACTCTACTTCCAAGACACACTTTTTTCTACTTTGTACCTAAAATTTGTACCTATGTACCTTTGTATCTAAGATTGCGCCAGGAATGGTGACTTTGTACATTTTTCACTGTCCTCCAGTATAGTTGTACTTGAGTACACGTGACAATAAAATCTAATTCACCAATTTTTTTTCTGTCTGTCTCATTTGTGCCAATTTGGACCGGGACCTGTGGCTGTTCACTTGGACCATTCAGCAGCTGCAATATGACACCCTTGGCCCTGGCAGCAGGGAAGTAACATGCCTTCCAAAAATGACACTAGCAACCACAAGAGTGCAGATCTGTTCATCTCCTTATAAAATTTGCGACCACTTTTACTCCCCTTCTCCTTCTCTTACCCCAGTGCAGCTGAATCATCTGGGGTATTGGTTGTTCCTGCACTTCACAGATGAACCTTTACCCTTAATCTCAACAGTCTAAGATTCCTGCCCTGTCCCCATTATCCTTCTGGAAGTCATCTATTCCCTCTCTTCGTGCACCTCTTTAAGCTATAGTGTGACCACCACATCCGGCAATATGCTTTCCAAACAGCTCTAAGCCTCATAATCCCTCACATTGACTCCAGCTGCTGGTCAAGCTTCAAAACTTGGAGCTTGAGCTGCTGTAGCTGGTCATTCAGGAATTCAGACTTTCTGCCATGCCTTTACTTAGATTATTGCCCAGAAAGACTTAGTAGCTGCCCATCAAATTGACTCATTCCTTGGTGGGGATGCCACCAAATCATAATGTAGTGGCAATATTATAAATAGCAATTACAAAGCATGAGCAGTTTGTATTTTTCATCTGAGTTTACACTAAACTGAGGATAATTTTAAAAGTCTCTAACTTTGGCTGAATGGCACACTGTGCTATGCTATTTATAGGGTACACGTTACCAAGTTTGTATGCAAGATGTATTCTTGTTTCAGGTCTGTATTGGATTGGCTATCCTGCATCTATTTGTGCATCAAATACAGATTGTGAAATCAACATACTGTTCCCTGTACTTGAAAAATTGTGATCTTTGGATTAGTATTTCATTCATACTTAACTTTATTTTCAGTTTCCTTGTGACTTTGGGATGAATTTGCAGTACCTGTCCCTTTTTTCCACATTCAAATTGCCGCATTAGTGAGCGTACAAGCTTGTAATAGTTGGGCAAATAATGATTTTGTATTATTTTGTAAATTAATGATTGTGAAGTACTATTACGTTCTGCACCAAAGAAATAACTTTATTTTAATATGTTAATCAGTGACTTTTATTACAAAGTTTAAACAGTTTTGCATAATTTTCAACACTGCTTTCAGACAACCTGTTTGAGATTTTATTTATACTTCTAGCTTTAAAGATAAAAATTCTGCCCTCTTTGTACCCAGGTTCCAAGAATCTGCATCAGCTATGTTTCAGGAGATTTATGTGCCTGCTGCATGAGACTATTTTCATGATCACATTGCGCCACTGGTCAAGAACTTTCAATGATGCTCACACTTTGCTGTCCTTTGTACTCAATCTAACTTGCTTGGATTTTACTTCTGTCCAACAAATCCTACTATATTTGCCTTTATTATAAGGTATCTCTGCAAATATGGGTCCAAAATACATTTGTCAGTTCTTCTGTTGTCTCTGACAATGTTCTTTTGCCATAATTATTTATTAGAGCCTAAATAAAATATCTCCAGCACTCTTTATTTGTTCATCTCTTAGTGCCTGCCTGTGTTCTTTGCTGTTTTTAATGCGCTTTTAAAAGTGTTTGCTGTAGTCCATTGCTGTTATTTCAAGGTATCTCTGATAGCTGGAAGTTCCCAACTATTCCTGTAAACTTTTGAGATACCAACAAAATGCTTGTAACTTTATTTCTGATTATTTGATGGTCTTTAATTTGACATCATGATCTTCCATCACACTCCTGATTGTGTTTTGTAGATGGTGAACAAACTTGGGGAGTCAGGAAAAAGAGGTATTTGCTGCAGGATTCCTACTCTGACCCGCTCTTGTAGCGGGTCTCTGGAACAGTATGCGTTTAAAAAATGAATAGACTGAAAGCTGAACATGAATAGGTCAGATAGCTAATATCACTAGTAGACAAAATGCTAAGAACTATTATTGAGGACATGGTAACAGGGGAAAGGGGAAACATGATGGGGGATCCATTGCAGTGGATGTAATGTCAAAAAGCATTCAGTAAGGGGTGAAATGAGGTTTTTAGTATGAAACAAAATTAGGACGACTCCTTGGGATGTGGGAAATGTGAAAATTCAAATTGGGAGCAGGAGTAGTGTTTCAGGTTTTCTAGTCTGTTCCACCATTTATGAAGATTATGGCTGATTTGATTGTAGCCTGACTCCGAATTCCCAGATTAAGTTTGACTCTTTTGTTAGTCTCGCCCTGCCTTTAGAGTATTGAATAACCTGATTTCTACTACACTCTTAGGGAAAAGAAAAAGAATTCCAAAGACCCTCCAGGCGGAAAATTCTTCCTCACCTCCCATCTTGAATGGGAGACCCCTTATTTTTAAACTCTAGTCACCTATTTCTGGACTCTTCCTCAATGGGAAACATGGTTTCAACATTGATCCCTTAAAATTCACTCAGGATTTTTTTGTTTCAGTTACATCTTTCCTAAATGTTAAATGTTCTAAACTTAAATGTGTACAGGCCCTATTTTTATTTTTTAAAAAGTCAGAATTAACAGGGCATTTTTAAGTTTGGCATTTGTCCGTTTGGCAGTTTATAACCAGCAGGGTACTGCAGCTGTTTAGTCTTCATTATTGGCTTAGATGAAGGGACTGAGTGTAATATATGAGAAGAAGCAGTGCATTGTATGCAGAGTGACTGCAGAAGGATAGAGACAGGTTCTATGAGTGGTAAAAACATGATAGATGGAATTCAGTGTTATAAATGTCATAAAATAAGAGGCTAAGTGTGAAGTTCGACAACTTGGGTAGTGAATTGAATAATGAAAGACAGGAAAATGTTTACATTCACACATCTAGATATGTCTTGTACATGATTGCAAAGTTAAAAATATAGCGAATAATTAGCAAGGCAAATGGTCAACTTTCATTATATGGAATTGAAGAATATTAGCAATTACATCTAACTACAGTTCTACAGGGCCATTTTAAACCTTACAGTATTAATGTTCAGAAATCTATTTTCCCAAGAAGGAGTGCAGTGAAGGTTCACTACATTCATTTCTACAATGAGGATTGTCATTGAGGAGAGATTGTGTAGGCTAGGCTTATATTTCCAGAGTTTAAAAGAATGAAAGATGATCTAATTGAAGTATATATAATTCTTAAGCGACAGGATGAATGCTAGAAAATGTCTGTTTGACAATTCTAGAATTGGGAGTCAGTCTCAGAATAAAGCAACAACAATTGATGACAGAGATGAGAAATATCACTCAAAAGAAGGGCTTTGAATATCTAGAATTCTGTACCATTCTCCGAGAGCCGTGGATAGTCTATGTTGAGTATATTTAAGTCAGAGGTAGGCAGATGTTTTGAGTCATCAGAAAAGACGATGGATATAGGGATTGTACAAGAAGGTTGAGGAGTGGTACATCAGCATAGCATTTGTTGAATTGTAGATTGGCTCACAAGGCCTGCTAGAGGTATTTGTGTTATAAATCATTCTTCCTGTTTCCTCTGTACCCAGCACCGTCTATGCCAGTCCTAACACTGCTTTTTCCGCCCATCTTAGTCAAGCTTTTGATTACCCCTAATATCTTGCCCCTTGGTTGAACATGCTTTATCAATTGCACTTCTGTTAAAAACTTTTTCTTGGAAGAGGTACAAGTGTAAATTATTATGGTAATTATTATTAAAATTCCATCACTAATTTCCACGATCATTGGATGAGTAAATACCAATGGCGCACATTGCACAATTTGTTGAAAGTTTATTTACTGAATATCATGCAACACCCCAAACCAGTTCCATGTAGTGTCATATGGTTATAGCAAAATGAAACCACCATAAGACTGGAAGCGGCAGTGTTCTTGTAATTAACAGCCATGTACACGGTAATATGAAAACATGAAGAAAGTGATTTTTGAAATTGTGCATTCTATATGCATTAATGTAAGGTCACTGCACTTGTGGAGATGCAAGCCTTTTGATTTGAGGTCTGACCTTTATGCATGTGTGTTTTTAAGAAAAATTTAGATTTGTACCTGTGTATTTTTATTCGCTGAATGTAAAATCATCGTGGAAGTATTGAGAGTTCAGTATTATAGCTATTTTTAATAGATTTAGGGAGTTGCATGTTTTAATTTTACAAAGCAAATATGTTTGCACTGAAGTCCAATTCTCACACCATCCTATTTTCTACATTTTATGGGTATTTTTTTCTCATTGTTAGTCATCTGGATTGGCCATGCTAAATTGCCCACAGTGTCCAGGGATGTTTAGGTTATGTGGGTTAGACGTGGGAAATTCGGGGAATGGGTCTGGATGTGATGCTATTGGGAGGGGTGGTGTGGACCTGTTGGGCCGAAGGGCCTGTTTCCACACTGTAGGGATTCTATGATTCTATGATCATTCCAGAGGCCAGTATCCAGTCACCAAGTCACCCTTTATTTACATGTGCGTAGTTCTTGAAAGTGGTCCAGCTTCCTCAGAGCCAACTCTCAATGAACAGAACCTCTGACACTCCTGTTTATATTTGTCAGCCAAGGCTCCCTGATTAGGGCTGTTAACCTGGTCCAATCATGTAACTGATATTCTATGATGTCCACCTGGCTGACCTCATTACAGCCACTACATCCCTTCCCCATCGTCCAGGGGCGTTGGCTTGATCTTTGTCATGTGGTCTTTCCTGGAGCGTTTTCACACCTGGTCCGGTTCCTCCGACTCAGCCTCAGATACGGACAGTATGCACCAGACTGCAGTCTGCGTCTTGCGCCCAGAACATCTCAGAAGAAGTTCATCCTCTTCAGGTGGTAAAGGCATCAAGGCTGTAACATCCACCATGTTCATCTCAGACTGAGGTTTTTTTTAATATTCATTCACGGGATAAGGGCATCACTGGCTAGGCAGTATTTATTGCCCATCCCCAATTGCCCACAAGGCCGTTAAGAGTCAACCACATTCCTTTGGTCTGGAGTCACATGTAGGCCAGACAGGTAAGGATGGCAGTTTCCTTCCCTAAAGGTCATTGTTGATCTCGTTCACTAATCGACAATGGTTTCATGGTCATCAATATATTTTTAATTCCAGATATTTACTGAATTCAAATTCCACCATCTGCCCAGAAATCCACCCAGAACATTATCTGGATTAACAGTCCAGCAATAATACCACTAGGCCATTGTCTCCACTACTTTGACACCATACAAAGGGGAGAACCCATGGGTTCCAACAGCCTTTCTGGATGTTCTGTGTACATTTTGCTCCTGACCTGTTTGCAAGTCTACAGCTTTCATGTGATCCACGTGCTTGTTCAGGACTCACCTACCTGAACTTTGTAGGCCACCGCACCTGACCTTGTGTTGACCATACCCTTATCCATGCAGGGCCATTTCCGTAGTTTTGGCACCAAACTTCATCCCTTGAAGTAATCTCTCTCTTGCTTACAGGAGTTTTGTGTCTGTTCCTGATGCCTTTTTACCCCCTTCCCCCAGGAAAATCCGATTTAACCTGGTGCAGAGTCTTCTCCCCATTAGCAATTCTGCTGGAGCTATCCCTATAGTTGCATGCGGCATGGTCTGCTATCAAATGGAAACCTGGACAGTTTGGTATCAAGGAAAGCTGTAGGCTTTCTCTTTAAGAGACAACAAGGCATAGAGCTGAATGAACACAGCAGGCCAAGCAGCATCATAGGAGCAGGAAGGCTGACGTTTCGGGCCTAGACCCTTCATCAGAAATGGGGGAGGG